CCCCCCCCATCCAACTCCACAACCCCACAAAATTTTATTGCGGATTTGGGCGGCTCTCCTCAAGCCGCACACGACCATGCCATCAAAAATAAAAATAAAAAAATTTGGGCAGTCTACCGACCGCCTACGGGTCTGCCTACGGGTCGGCCCAACTGGTAGGCGCCAAAACAACCCTGGCACATGCCTTGTATTTGAATATTTTTTGAATAAGGCATGTAGGCTTTATTTAAACCCGAATTTCGACACTCTTTCCTATTTAGATCTGTCTAGACTTTGTTTATCACTAACCGACTGAGGATATTAGTACGGCTTCAGCCCGACTCTGAACCGCAAGGGCTAGGTTGACCCTTGACAGGGGATCGATTTCCCAGTTAGTCCTCCTTGACGCCTCTTTCCTAATCCTTTGTGTGCTTGTCTTTACTAATGTCTCGTAATGTTTTCTCACTTGCATATTTCTGACCGAGTTTTTCCTCTCTCATACGAAAGTCAACAGTTAGAGGTGTTCCCCCATCCCGCCTACCCAATACGATTATAAGTGCTTTAATCCAGCTAAATCATTAGGTCCGGGCTAGGATCCGGACTGGGGTTACCCGACATATCCCCCGGTAGAGATCTAGTTCAAGGAGGGAGAAAAATTAATAGGTCCGTGCTGCAAGCCCTTTCTGACAACCCTCACATTAGGTTGAGGCTCTATTTCACCGAGGTGGATGGCAGAGCATCATGGGTTGTGCCAACAAATCTAGTAGGATGGAGACATGAGGGAGCAATTCATCATAGGTCCGGGTTGAATGAGTGATTTTAGTTAGTTTATCGTTCGTTAAGTGTGAAATACGGACTTATAGCTCTGAGGATTGTCAGACAGTCCTACTTAGACTTATTAATTAGGTCCGGGCTCCTGAGGAGACACACAAGGTATGAAGTTCGGAACTATGGGAGTTCAGGTAGATACGGGAGGATACCACCCCTCACCGGATCGAGCCCTTCGCGAGCTAGAGGAGCGCTTTAAACAAACTACACTGACATGTGAGAGCTCGGACGACGATGGGAAGTCGGAGGTGACTGACATATCAAAGGCTATTTGCCTGACTCAGTCCGTGGCTGCAGAACGAGAGAGAAGTAGAACGGGGCCAGTGACCATAAGCCACGATCGATAGTATCGTCCGAGGTCACCAAATTCGAGACATAAGGAGATGAGAGGTAATCGTGAGAGAGATGATTGGAGAGAGCGAGGATGGTGTGATAGGGAGAGAGGCAAATATAACAGTCTGCCTCGATGCTTTTTCGATCCGGAGACTGGGGAGTCTTATACTCTTCCCTATGAGAGGCGAGACATATATATTATATCACATCAAACCCCAGAGCTTGATACCAAGCCTCCCATCTTCAGAGGATATGGGATTTCTTATTACTTAGAGAAGTGGGAGCGGTATGTGTATCATAGCCAGTGGACAAAGGATAAGATTATTGACAGCTTCATGTTCAACTCTGATTCAAGCTTAGGCAAGGAGATAAAAGAGTGCGAGGCCAAAGGATCGACGCTGGAAGACTTACAGGGAAAATTTGTATCAGCTCTTCAAACATGAGGATATGAGGTACTCTATGAAAGACGTGGAGAAGCTGAGGCAGGAAGAGGATGAGAGTGTTCTAGCGTTTGGGAGTAGGTTTGAGAAGATGTCGGATATTCTGGGGGCAAAGGGGAAGTTGTTGGAGATTGACAGATGCACCATTTTCATCAGTCAACTATCAAAGGGGAAGCAAAAAGGGATTCTGAGAGACGTTCCACACGATTGTCTCGAATTTTCAACGGTCCTTAGACTGGCTGGCAGTAAGTGCTGACGTTGATGAGTATTAAGGACCTGGTCTGGACTGCATTACGTCGCAGGGAGGGTCTCCGGTCGCCTTTTCGTCCTTCCAGTGTAGAGAGGTGCCCAGATTTTGATGATAGGCCTTGGGCAGACCACCGATACCCCCTTGATGGACCTAGAGACCGGTGAACAAACATCACGGATGATTCGGACCTGAGAGAGATGATCAAGGGCTTGGCTCGACAAGTCGTCAGGATAGAGGCAAAGACGGAGATAGTTGGTGATCAGGTGAGGAATAGTCCGTCAAACTTGTTGAGGTGCGATCGGGTTGGGAACTGGTCCGACGTACTTGCTGAGGGAGGATAACCGAGACCAGGACTGTGGAGAGATGAGGAGGATAAAAATCCTCGGACACTGGCCGATTATCAATCGAGGGAGCAGGAGTATCATATACGACGCGATGATCCCCCTAGGTACAAGGAGGAGGATCGAGATCGACAGGTTGACTATTCTAGAGGCTATACGAGAGGTAGGGGCAACGGGTATCGACTAGACGGTCGGGTGGAGACCTACCCTTACAGGCCAAGGTATGTGCGAGGTCCCCATAACCCCGGACATGCAGAAGAGTATCCTAAGAGTCTAGATAGGAATGACCATGTGACGGCGAGAGACTGATGAGACAATTCCCTCGAGCGATACGAGAGGAGAGATGTTGATCGGGACCATCGTGATGATGCTAGAGGACAACGTGAGCCTGGCCCGGATCCTCATGATGCTCGGGTATCAGGTGGAGATAGAGGATATAGACGTGTCGAGGATGGATCATCTTCTCCTGGTAACACATGCGTCTATTGTTGTTCGGATGGCCATGTTGAAAGGGATCGCACTGATCTTCAAAAGGCGATAGACTACGGGATTGTGGTACTTGACGACCGGAAGTACGCCAAAAGGGCCGACAATCTGAGGGATGCATCCATATTTTCTTCGATAAAAGAGGACGTGGAGGTCAGATGAGCACCATTAGATAAGGAAATAAGACAGTGAAGAGTCAAAGCGTCAAAATTATCTTACAGTCAAGATATGAGACACCTATGACGCCCATCCTCATCGAGGCGACCACGTCATCGAAGACCCCTTCTTTCAAAAAAAGGGTTGATCGAGCTATGATGACCGTCGGTCAAGAGGAACATAAAGGAACGAAGATTACTATCGCCACGAAAATGGATCTCGGTGAAAGTTGCCGATACGACAAAGTTCTTGATGCAAGCACCTAGTCCGCCTAAGCAGTGTTCCATATTGGCGACATATGGGCCAGTAGGAGATGAGTTCCTATCTCTTATTATTACGAGCAAAGTGCCTGTACGGGGACGTCGAAAAGAGGTCCGGGCTAACTATCGGGCGGCCGCAGACCGGTCGGCCACTCGAAATAGAGGGAATTGGGGGTTCGACCGGGCGCTTAGTCAGGATTCTTTGGGTATTCTTGTTGGAACCGTTGGGGGAAATTATGGCTCCTGAGATGAACTTCGAATTCTCCTTCATCAACCACTAATACTAACCCTTAGAATTTCATAAATATAACAACGGGTTCTACCGCGCTTAGAACCTACCCTTTTCGTTCGTTTTGAGGTTATCTTCGAACCAGTCAGCCATGGAGCGAGGGTATGCTAGTAAGCCATCACGCAACCCTTTCTACGCTGACCTGATGACAAGCAATTGGGCCCTAAAATTTTGTTTAATTTAATGATGGAATTAAAAATAAGCAATAAAATTAAAAATGATTATAAAAAAAGAAAAACAAGTGATTATCCTATTATTTGACATTTTTGAACCAATCACGTCCTCGTTGGTTTTGATTGGAGTTTACCTATTTATTTCTCCTTTTTTATTTAAACTGATTTTTTCTACTTTATTATCCCTCGCTGATTTTATCAGATTTTACTTAATTTTTACCCTTGTTATAGCTCGCGTGTTATTGCGTGTACGATACCCCTAACTTACCGGATTCCTATGGGGGACTAAGTGATGCGTGAGAACTCGGATGGATACTCGGTACGCACTCGGCGGTCTGGTACAACCAGCCGTTGGCGAGGACCAGGACCGGTGTGGCCACTAGTTCGGCCTTGGTAGACTCACAACAGTCCGGTACTATTATTTCTGGTGCGGTCACTGGTCCAGCATTGGTAAACTCACGACAACCTGGTACTACTATTTCTGGTTGGTAAGCTCATGTCAGTCCGGTACTATCATATCTGGAACGACCACTGGTTTGACATTGGTCTGATAGGGTCACTGGTTCGGTACTGGTACGACTCGTTGCAGTGCGGAGCTATTAGTTTTGGTGTACTTGCTGATTCGGAACTGGTACAGTTTACTACCAATCGACGCTGTTATTCCTTGGTACAACACTTGGTGCAGTTCAGGGGCTTGAAATAGCTCGCTCAGCCTGAGGGTTCGACAATTCTAATCTCATGGGGGATAATCCAAAACAGTCGATCTAGGCGAAAACCATTGATACCAAGGGTGGGTAACGTCCGGATCTGTGGGCTTGCAACCGCCGGTATCGGTACTGCCAACACTCCGTTTGAGGCTGAGGGCTAGTGAGCCAGTGGGATGGGGGCCACCCATGTGAGATATAGGGCAGACCAACGGAAGAGCAGGGGGATTGGGACAAAGCCGACCAGGGGGACCAGGGTGCCTTGGAGCGAGTGACCAAGGCGAGCATTGCCGCAGCGTGTGTGGCTGCCTCACGAGCTGCTGCCCATGCGAGTTCGCAGGCAGTTGGCAGTGAGGGCGCTCGAGGAAGGAAGTGAGTGAGAGTGGGAGTGAGAGATAACCAGCAAGACACGGAAAGTGAAAGCACAGTGAAACGGACTTTCGACGGTGGTAGGGAAAGCCAAGGGAGTGAGGCGCGGAGAAGACAATGAATATGGCCATGTACCTTCCCTTGTTCTGAAGGAAGATTCACTCTTTCCTCTTGAAAGGGGGCGTGATTGTAGCACCCACTTCTCGTATCTAA